TACTCAAGTGAAAGCTCTTGATGAGTGTAACATCGGGATGAGCTTATATCTTTAAAAATGTCAATAATTAAGAACTGAAATTGCTATCTTGTGAACTATAGACATTTTTAAAGATTTAAGCTCATCCCGACATTACACTCATCGAGACCTTTTATTTGAATACCCACATCAATTTTTCATATATTTATATATTTTATATATATGTATATATGAAAAATATATCAAAAATGCTTGTGGGTACTCAAATGAAAGCTCTTGATGAGTATCACATAAAAATGAATTTATATCTTTAAAAATGTCAGTAATTAAGAACTGACATTGCTATCTTGTCAACTATTGACATTTTTGAAAATATAAGCTCATTCCGATGTTACACTTATCGAGACCTTTCATTTGAGTACCCACATCAATTTTTCATATATTTATATATATTATATATATGTATATATGAAAAATATATCAAAATGCATGTGGGTACTCAAATGAAAGCTCTTGATGAGTATCACATAAAAATGAACTTATATATTTAAAAACGTCAATATTTAAGAAAGTACAGTGCAACTTAACCAAAGTCATTATCTAATAAAGCAAAATTTTATTTATTTCATGACAAAAAAATTCTTAAAAATAATTCTCTTGGCTTAAGATTTTTTTATCTTTAATAAAATTCATCTTTCAATAAGTGAGTAGAATAAAACAATTTGATAATTACTTTGCTTTGGTTTACCGTCGATCAGCATAAGTGAATGCATACAAAGTAGAAAAAGCATGCTGCCGAAATACAGGTAGAGGTAGAATGCCTCGTAAAACGAAGGCGGTATGTACGATGATATCACTTCGGACATAGGAAATGCAATTCCCATTACCACCAGCAGTTTCCCGTAGAGCGCACTTAGGGTTGTTGCTAATGCATATCTGAAAATAATTATCTATTTTAAGTTATAATAACAACAATAACTTACAAGTTTATTTACAAACAGTGATTCTATAATTATTTACTTAATTATTGGTCAATAAAAGACAGAACAAAGTGTGGAAAATCATAAAATAGCATGGGTTGATGTAAAGCAAAGCTTAAAAAAGCCAATGGAAGCTGAAAATCAATAAAATGTTGGCGGAAAAGGTATATAAGCTTCGTAAACTGAATTAAAGATCAATCTGGCGAGTATAAACTCAATAAAGCTCCACTGAGGCTGATAAATCATTGTAAAAGCTCTGTTCAAGCTTAATGACGCTTGACGCTATTTTTTTGACGTTTCAACGCTAAGCAGTTGTAATTTATTACTGTTCTGAGGGGATTTAATAAATTACAACGTTAATGAAACTTTCGGAAAGTTCAAAAAGGATTTAAGCTTCTTGGGTTGGGGTTTTAATATATTAAATTAAAAGTTAATAGGTTTGCTATAGGGTATAGGATGTAAGGACGTTAAGAACTCAATAAAGCTTAACAAAGATTATTAATTATCTGTGAAAGCTTTGTTTAAGCTTTTTGGGTTTTAATTTATTTTTTATTGATTATCAATTTTTTAAAAAGCAATTATTTTTTTCTCTTACAAAAAATTAAATTGATTAAAGAAAAAAATATTTTGAAACAAGAAAATCATTAAAAAAATTTTTTTTAATTAAACAAAAAAGTTCTCGAATTAAATTAAATTTTCTTGAACAAAAAAAAAAACAATTATTTTGCTTAATTTGAGTCAAAAAAATTCTTCGAAATTTTTTTTATCAAGCTGTATTTTTAAACTGTTATTTTTAAAATAATTTTTTGAACTATTAGTATTTTTTTTTCTCAAAAAAAAAAAACTTAAATTTAATTAAAATAAGAAAAATAAATTTTTGAAATGATCAAAAAAATTTTTTTTAATCAAATTAATTTTTTTATCAGCATACAAAAAATAACCCATAATTTAAAACAAATTTTTCGTCATATATAATTTTTTTTTTTTATAATAATAACTTTAATTTAGTGATAAAATAAAATACAGAATTTTATTGTGAATGATTACCAATAAAAAATAAAAAAAAAAATGGATGTATTAGCTCAATTGCACGCAATCTCGTGTAGACCCACACAATCCGGTGTATAGCAAGCCGTTTTATAATCTAAAGTGCCTGTAATTGTGACGGGGATCCTCTGGTACTGTACGCAAGTGAAATCACATCAAGTACACGTGATACCTTTAATCTTAATAGTCTATTTTGAAAAAGATAATTAAAATATTAAAAATATAAGGAAGGAAGTTTGCAAGTGAGGGATTTTTTTAATAAAACGAGTAATTAAAATAAATTTTTGAAGAATTAGACAAAAAAGTGTCGAAAAAGAACTTACGCTCCTAGGTGCTTGTTGTTAGCATCATCGGCGACCTCGATGAAGGTCGGGGCCGGATAGCAGACAGCCGGGATTGGCCGCGGAGGGCAGGGCAGGGCCAATGCAAATTGTCCGACTGTATGTGTACGGGACGGTGAAGTACTGCTGTTTCTTGATAGTGTTTCCGGTGATACTATTACTGCTGAGGGCGATGCTGGCGATGGTAATGCCGCCGGAAGTCCCGGCCAACTATTTTTAATAAAAATATTATTATTAATTATATTAATGTATTGATTTAAACATCAGTATAAAATCAATTTTCATAAGTCATTTTATTGTCTAGAGTAATTAATTGTCAAGTTTATTTAAATTTTTAACAAACTTTTGACATTTAGGTCAATAATTTAATTTGAATATTGAAGAGGATTTTAATAGAATTAAATAACAAGTTTAAAGTTATAAAATATGTTTTATTTTAATAAATTTAATTTGAGAGATTTGAGTTTAAAAAATTACTTACGTGAAAAATTAGTCTTTTTTTTTTTTTAATTAAGCATTTAATTAAAATTTAGCGAAAAGATTGAGGGAAAATAAAAATCATAAAAAAATTGCCACGAATTCAAGTGAGCTTAATTACTTTGACTCTTTAATTAAATGTTAGGAAAAATTCTTTAGATTTTTAATTAAAAAATTTCTCATTTTTGTAATTTTTTTTTGCTAATTAATTTTAAAAATTATTATTTCGATTAATTAAAAATTTTTTTTCAGGTGGTTAAATTTGATGTAAAATTTTGGTATTTCATAAAATCAATTTTAGATTTTTTCAATAATTTTTTTTTTTCAATTTTCGGCTTTGAAAATAAATTTTTAAAAATTGGAAAATTTTTTTATTGCCAGATTTTAAGAAAATTCGTTTTAAAAATATTAATAAATTAAAAATTTTTTTTAAGATAAATTTCAAATATATCTATTACAATTTTGAAATTAAAAAAATTTTTTTCCAAAAAAATTTATTAAATTTTTTAATAAAAAAACTACTTCAATGTTTTAAAATATTTTCCTTCGAAGTCAGCCATATTTTTTCCATTTTAAAACGCAATTTCTCAGATGAAAAAAAAAAGCAATTTCTCTTATTGAATTTCCCGTTTCCTCCATCGGAAGATTGAAGTATAAAAAAAGATATATCACATTCAAAATTCATCAAAGAAAAACTTAATCTCGATTAAAATTCGACTTAAAGTTTAAAATTTAAATTGCAATACTCTAAATAAATGCAAAATATTTTTTTCTACTTTTTTTTTTAAGTATTTTCCATCCATTCATACCCTAAGGACAAGGTTAAAAAAATTCATAAATAATGCCTGGAGTAGAGAGTAGACTATGGTATAACATGAGAGCTAAAAAACGAGCGGGTTCATCTCAGACACGAGCTTTTTCAAATAATCACGTAGTTTTATTTAGCAAAGCGGCCAGCCCTCTGCTGGCTGCTCAAGAGTAGTTGACGAGGATGTAAGACCGGAGACATGAAATGTGAGAAGTATAAAGTACTAGGCACCAAGCAGTAACTCATATTATATCAGTAGATATAGAAGTAAAGACACGAGATACGACTATGACATAATATGAGAGGAAGAAGAAAGAGTAGGGCATAGTTGAGGGGTTGATTCAACGGCTGAGTGGCATTCGCTCGTTGTTCAACGAGGGTAAGTCCAAGCTTTGCATCTTCCATCCCTTCTGAGTCACCTCAGCTCTCGTGCTTCACCTTACTCATTCTCTTATTATATATTACTGTTATTCAGAATATCTCCAGGCTCTTTCTTCCTACATTTGCCTTTTTCAAGCAATACCTACTAAATTATCATTATCCTTATCCTCCTCGAACAACTTATATTATCATTATCACTTGTATTGTCTATTGTCTCACTGTCATCTGTACACGGAGAGAATTAAATTATATGATCTACAATACGTAATTTTTAGTGTTATTCATTTAAAATAATAGTAAAATTTGTCAAGTTTTGAAATAATTAGTTTTATAATTTTGTAATCTATATCATTAAGAGAATAAACAAAATTTTGTGGCTAGTGTTTTTATATAATAAACTAGATTTTTATGGTTAAATTTGGTATCATTAGAAAGGTCTTGATCTGGAGTTGTGCCTTTTCGTGGTTTCATATCATTCTCATCAATAGTCAATTTATGATGATCAGTATTTAAGCTGCATTCGAAAATGCTCTACTTCTAGATACATAAATAAGAAATGACCTTGTATCTCATGAACTATTGACATTTTTAAAGATATAAGCTCATCCCGACATTACTCTCATCGAGACCTTTCATTTGAGTAGCCACATCAATTTTTCATATATTTATATATATGTATATATGAAAAATATATGAAAATGCATATGGGTACTTTAATGAAAGCTCGTGATGAGTGTAACATCGGGATGAGCTTATATCTTAAAAAATGTCAATAGTTAAGAAATGACTTTATATCTTGCGCACGATTGACATTGTTAAAGATATAAGCTCATCCCCATGTTATACTCATCAAGACCTTTCATTTAAGTACCCACATAATTTTTTCATATATTTATATATATTACATATATGTATATATGAAAAATATATCAAAAATGCATGTGGGTACTCAAATGAAAGCTCTTGATGATTGTACCATCGAGATGAGCTTACATCTTTAAAAATATCAGTAATTAAGAAATGACTTTATATCTTGCGCACGATTGACATTGTTAAAGATATAAGCTCATCCTGATGTTATACTCTTCAAGACCTTTCATTTGAGTATCCACATCAATTTTTCATATATTTATATATATTATATATATGTTTATATGATAAATATATCAAAAATGCGTGAGGGTACTCAAATGAAAGCTCTTGATGAGTATAACATCAGGATGAGTTTATATCTTCAAAAATGTCAATAATTAAGAACTGACATTGCTATCTTGTCAACTAATTAGAGGAGTTTTGAATAGTTTATTGGTTTTATATTTCTTTTTCGTGTAATTTTTCCATAAAATTGGTAACTAATCCCCTTATATCACTAAAATTTATTTTTAAAGTACCCAAAGTGCCTATTGTAATGAAGAATATCAAAAAATCATTAAGCTAAAATACTTTTATTCAAAACTCTTAATTCCCGGCAGTCACATATAGCTTGCAGGTAACCAGCTATTATTATTACCATCATTATTATTGTTATTATTATTATTATATCTCTAAGACTCTTGTCTCCATATCCCCGTAACAGAGTAAGAGTGCAGCAAACGAACCGATTAACCAGATTATTAATACGAGGGCTGACATTATTTAATTAACACTCCAACTTGAGACCTTTCCATTAGCTACATCGTAATAATTTTTTTTTTATCCGTTTTAATGTCAGAGTATTTTTTCAATAAATAAATGAAATGTCAATGAACAACTCAAAGAATCGAAAAATTTCTCACCTAAGAGACGTCTCTTTTATCAGCATTTTTTTTTAAATCTTTTTATAGAGTGGAACGTAATTGCTTTTTTGTTGTCGAGTGACTTTGTCGTTTGTTTTTGTTTGTTCCTTTCTTTTTCTTCTATTTTTTTTGCGCAAAAGTTTAAACTGAACGGCACAATGAGGCTAGAGCCACGCGGCACTCGGTCACGCTCGGACCCCACATCACAGACTGACCAACTAACTGTCACTCACTCTCTTTATTCTAGAGTAATCGCAAGGGTGCTCGATTGTCTCGGCTCTCAATTGTTTTATTTTACCGTAATGATTAATCTCGGGTCTAAAGTTTTCTCTTTTTTAAGGGGAAGTTTGAATTTTAAGAGTTAGATAATAGGACTCATTTTAGAATAAAAAGTTTAATTTTTTTACGATTTAAGCTTACTTGGATTTTTATTACTTTTATTTTAAATGAAAAAAAAAATCTTGTGGTTAAATTATGGAAAGTAAAAAAGTTTTTTTCTTTTTATACATAGTTTAGATATTATGTAATACTTATAAAATGAAACTTTTATAGTTACTTTTAAAGTAATACTCCGTTGCGGAAATTCATCTCGTACCTTATTTATAGAGGATAAAATTTCTGCAAAGTATTACTTTCATTTTTTATAAAGTCAATAGTTGAGTCCTGTCTAAGAGTATTTTTATATTTTTTTACTCGTTAAAGTTTGCGGTTATAAATATTATGTTACATATTTTTCGATCTCTGTAAAAAAAACATCTAATTACATCATTTCATTTTAAGAACTTTTTTTTTTTAGGAAATTAAAATTTTTTTTTATTAATTATTGATTGATTGGTAAATACATTAAGAAAAGGATTTGTTTGTTTTTGATGACCTTTATTAATTGTTGATAAATGATTTTTAATGTTTGAATATTCTCTATCTCTAGATAGATAATTAAGAAATTACCTTGTATCTTGTGAACTATTAACACTTTTAAGGATATAAGCTCACCCCGACATTACACTCATCAAGACCTTTCATTTGAGTACCCACATCAATTTTTTATATATTTTGTATATTTATATATATTAATCTATGAAAAATATATCAAAAATGCATGTGGGTACTCAAATAAAAGGTCTCGATGAGTGTAATATCAGGGTGAGCTTATATCTTTAAAATCATCAATAATTATGAAATTATAGTGGAATTTAACAAAAGTTATTATTTAGTAAAGACCTTGTATTTCGTGAATGATTGACATTTTTAAAGATATAAGCTCATCCCGATGTTACACTCATCGAGACCTT